GACGTGTTCTTCAGCTTTGATCCATAGTATACGGATAGAGCGTGCTTGATACAGCCATTGGGTATATCCACGTCATTGACAGGAGTGAACTGTTCATGATATTAAATGATAGGATAGACTTCAAATTGGAGTCATTCCTCCAAACAGAGCCGCTTCGCAACAAGATTAATCTATAGTCCATGCCAATAAGTTACATTTTAAGAATACATCACCCAGTTTTGGCTGGGAGAACCAACGGGCCGATCAAGTAGGCCACCAAAAACCCGAAAAACATCAACCACGCATTCAACCCAAAGCGGGACACATCGCCCATCCCCACAGCCTCGTACAGCGCATCCTCCAGCCCGCTCGCCATAGCGTCCATGCCGAACAACGCCCGTGCCCTAGTCTTAGCTCTACTTGACAGAGCGTCCTGCTCTGCTTTGCTCATCGACACGATCTCGAGCAGCGCGTCAGCCCACGCGTCCACGTCAGGCTTTCGGAGCCACCCAGTCCTATCCTCAGGAGGACCGTCAAGGACGCTCTCGGTCGGTCCTCCGCTGTTGCATGCTAACACGGGGACACCGCACATCATCGCTTCCACGGGCACAATCCCGAAGTGTTCGTTCGCAGGGGTGTACAGCAGGGCGAGGGTCGAGGGGTTGGAAAGGAGAGCCGTCCGCTGGGAGGTTGTGAAGTTCAGGAGAATGAGAACATCGGGGTTCTCGGGGGTCATATCTAGTGGTGGAATTTTGACGGGGGTCTTGGAGGAAGAGGGGGTGATGACGTTGTATGTGAGGGATAGGGATGTAATAAGGTCGATGAGGCCGTACAGCGTAAGCATGTTGTCCTCGAGACGCGGATCATAGCCCCCTAGAGGAGAGGTCATCAGTTTTGGTAATTGCCCGGGGTTGGCGTTGGTCTTACCTGCCAGAACAAGGCGCAGTCTCTGGATGTGCGCGGAAGAGGTCTGCTTAGTTTTTAGGGCAGCGAATGATTTGACAGCAAGGGCCACATTCTTCTTTTCCTCGAAACGATTCAGCGAGATGAGGGTTGGGTCGTGTCTGCATTAATACTCGTCAGAATCAATGCTTGACGCGTTAGCCGAGGACAACTGACGAAGTGACTGCGACGTTGTCCGGGTCGTTACTGTCCACAGTCGCCTCATATGCCGCGATGTTGATTCCTGGGTATACCACGCGTGGCGTCCGCCTAATAGACTTGAGATGTGACTTGGTAACACGAGCACTGAACTTGGAATTTGCAAGGATAACATCTGCTTGTCCTGTGGGAAACATGAGACGTGTCACCACCAGAGATCATAACTCCACGTACGCGTCGTCGTCTCCTCCAGCCAATCCATAGGGTATCGATAAAGCCGCTTCATTAACCCCATCCGCCTCTTCGCTTTCGCGCCCTCCACAAACGCTCCACTCGCTAGCAATTTGTCGGGAAAGTGGCAATAGAAGACGATCCGAGTGTTCGTCATCGACCGAAGGAATGGAATACATGTCGACAGCTGGTCTACGAAGTATACATCGTACTTGGGCGCAGATGGTCGCAAGAGATGGGTTGTGAGGTGTAGTTGCCTTGCGTGCGCGAAGAAGATGTGGAATTTGCCCTTGATTGCGCGGGGGAACGGGGGGATGATATGGTGGACACGAAGGCTTCCTGTCGACGAAATCTTCCATCATTCATGTAGTTGACGAAGACAAAGAATACGCACCATCTTTCGTTTCCTCAAAGCAGTGGTCCGGGTCGTGGTGGGATGTGTAAATGTCCACCGAATGACCACGCGCTTGAAGACCGAGTGCCGCGTCAACAACCAGACGTTCAGCACCACCTAATTGGCAATGCTACCATTGAGTATAGAGATGCTAAGAAAAGTAGGCTAAGCACCAATGCCAAGGTCTGGATGGATGAACGCAACTCGCAATGGTCGAGCCGATGACATGGGAGGCAAGAGTAGAGATGGACACTAGCGGCCCGATGACCCGTTCACTCAACTCTCCACTTGAATTCAAAATTACTATAAACATTATACATAACTCAGAGCTTGGGTTCATAACCTCGTTGCATGGGGAAAGATAGTACAAAATCGGCGTTGGTGCTGCTTCTGGTACAGCATTCTAGATCACCTTAGCCCTTACCTAAATCTCACTATATCCGCCTCTGCCATCATAATTTTAGCCAATACGCCTTGAATATCATCAAGCAAGTATTCTGCCGTCCCGTCGGGGAGGTCACCAACGCTAAGAAGGTTCCGTACGACGTCTCTGAGTCTCTGACGGTTCACACTGTAGCCCGGGATGGTGCCTCTCCGGAGCTGACGTTGTGCCATGACCAAGTAGCAGTACGCCCTCGTAAGGGGTGCATCTAAACCCGGTGGTGGATCCATGCGAGCTCCGCGAAAAATGGCTCGGCTGAAATAGAACAGTGAGCGTAACGTTCCGTTTAGCTGGCGAGGAAGACTAGTGAAAGATCGGAGGTGGAGGTCAGGAAGGATGTATGGGGGACACTGAGCACGGCGCACCTTTCTGTCTCCGATGGACCTACACTAAAGGCAATACATACCAGGCGCGTAACCATGGCGCGGAAGGTTGATGATACAGACACAAGATCAATAATCCGGGGCCAGAAGGACATCAGAAGTACGGGGCCGAAGGTATCGAGGAGTGTAAACCATGAGGTGGTCATGAAGGAGAGCGATTCGTGGATATGCCTACCCAACTCCAAGCCAATTATCTTCTTCAGCAGCTCGAACGGAACTGCGGGCACGTCGGGAAAGTCGTCATCACAGCTATAGAAGAAGGTGAGCCTAGTACGTCGCAGTCGAGGAAGGCATGCCTACCGAGTCGATACCGTGTGGCTGGACGCCATAGACATGGTTTGTACGTAGGTATCGGCTATTAGTGTTGACGTTAATGACAATGAACAATCGCACGCACAGAGGAAAGAAAGGCTTTGCACTTTGAGCTTTAATGGCAGGTTGCTAGCAGTAATTTCAGGTAATGCCTACCACCTGTGATGCAGAATGAGTTAGGGACAAAATGTTGGAGATGTTCGACAGCGGGGACATACCGATGTCCAAGAAGTTGGTGGTTATGGTGCAAGTCGAATCCAAGACGGGCGGTGGAGTCAGAGGCCTTGACAGCCCTGAGCGTAGAGGTCCCGAAATCTGAACTCGGGATCCGGACCGGTCGTGTGTCACTCTTCGAGCGACCACGGTCTGGCTTCCACCCTGTTATCACTTGAACATCCCTGCGAGTTTTTTATACATCTCGACAGCAATCAACAATCGTTTCACCATGTTCTCCCAATTCACTGAAGTCTCGTCAAAATCCGTCTCAGAGACATCGCGACCCCCATCGACCCAAGCCAACAGCATCATAGAGACGCCCTCAGGACAAGGATCTACATCGGCATCAACATCAGGATATGTCGCAAGCGCCTCCGCATCCGCCTTCCCTCCTTCCAGTGCCTCAGGAGCGGGATACGCACCAAGCTATGCGGGATTCCCTACCCAAACGCGTCCCAGTGGCACAGCTCAGCCACCAACGGATCTGGAGACAGTTCTCAAAGATGAGATTAAGTGCGTGTCGTAGGGTGCTTGCAATCGAGTCGTGCTAACAGATGCTGGGATGCTCAGGGAATGGCATTTCCGTATGTCGATTCTTTTATCCAGCCTCGGCCCATCGACTCAAGTAATTTCGAATATCCTCTAGACATCTACTTCCACCAGAGGAACGCGTCCTCCCATCATGCTGCGCTGGAACTACGCGATGCTGTGCTGCGATTACGTCGCGACGGCGCGTTTGTAGCAGTCCCGCTCTTCCGCGTTAACACAGAGCCCATCGGTCCACATCCCGTAGGTCAGTGGATATATATCGCTGCGGAGAGCGGTGCTGTTTGACGTGATGCTCGGCTGGATCAGGATCTTATGAGATTTGGGTGCCTTCTGAGACGTTCTCTTCGGTGTTCTCTTATCTCTGCATGAATCGGGGTGACCTGAGGTGAGTTTCCCCATCGTCCCTAGAATGACATTTACTGATCAGCTTGTAGCATTCTGGTCCACCCTCTTACTCGACATCAGGTACGTGTGAAATCAACCTCCTGTCTGCAGGCCGCACGCTGACCGAATCTTCACAGAGAGCGTGCGTTGCAGTGCCTCTTTCGCACATTCCACTTTTAACCGTTGTTGAATAGTGATCATTCGATTCGCAATGCATGGATCGGGCCTTCCTTCCCACTCGATCTCGATACCCTGCCTCTCAGAAGCGAAGACCTCCCCCTTCAATACCCCAGCCTCAGTAAGCCACTTGTACCCACCGAATTTTGACCGTCGACTTAACATCTGTTACTATAGAACTAGGATACTCCTCGACAACGCCGCCATTCTCTCCGGAGGATCGGCGCAAACTTGGAGCCAACATCGAACACATTCTCAAGAATGAGAAGGAGGCGGCTAGGGCGCCTCCCAGAGCGTGAACCTGATCAGGTGTTCTGGATTTATCAGAAGCGCAGCTCCCTCAGGTTTGGTCAGGCATGTAACACCAATGTATCTGTTATGCTTTCTATCTTCTAGTACTTAGGGTCAAATGCACTTCATCTCTTGTGTACCACCTGCCGCCGCTTCTCAGAAACTGATTGACGCCATACGACTCCATAAACCTTCCGAGACGTGTGGTATTAGATCCTGCCTCTGAGACCTTATAATTACTAAAACTTGTAATTATAACAACCGACCTTAGCTCAGCTGGAAGAGCGCAAGACTGTAATGGATACCTCATCTTGATGTCGCCTGTTCGAGCCAGGCAGGTCGGATGCATGGAGAATCATAGCATGTATTTTTTGAATAATATGACTGGCGGTAAATATGTTTTTTGAGAAGTTCATATGCCGGACTACTTCCCGCATATCTCTGTTTCAATGGAGCCCAGGTAATGGAGGACGATCGATGAATCCCATAATTTACTCCTCCTCCTTATGAGTTATGAGCATATTGTGAAAGTAAAAGCACTGCCGCGTTGGCGTAGTGGTAGCGCGTCTCACTTGTACTCTCCGAGTTCATGAGAAGGTCATTCGTTCAATCCGGGTACGCGGCATGGAGTCCATTCCACATATTTTTTGCATTGGACATGTGCAAACAAGACCACGTTCCTGTCCCTGACTCGACTCGACTCGAACCTTCCGAGCTGCATCTCCGTAGTCTCTAAGTACCACCGGCTTCCCGCTGCATTTTTTTGCTAATTGATCCTTGGATATGGCCGGCCGGGCGCGCCATGGACCTCCTTGTACCATCGTGATCAAGCTCGGTACGCGATTTTATCCTTCTCTGAGATCGACTAAAGGTCTAGCCTCGTATTATAGGAACATCTTCTATCGTCCATGAAACTACACATCAGCCGTTACTGTCGACACTTTCCTCAGTCGTCGAAACCGTCATTCACCTCCGATCGCAGGGGCACAAGGTAGTCCTTGTCAGTTCCGGGGCTATTGGGGTCGGGTTGAAGCGCATGGAAATCGCAAGCCGGCCAAAGAGCTTATCTGGAAAACAGGTGCGTGGAATCTCTCCGATTCGACATAGGATCGCGACAACTGAGCAATGGCTCACTCAGGCCCTAGCTGCCATTGGGCAAGGCCGGCTGATCGCCCTCTGGGACAATCTATTCGGTCAGCTAGGTCAACCTATCGCGCAAGTGCTGCTGACGCGTGGAGACATATCGGATGTGTGTCGAAGACGTGTGGTGATCTTTCGAAAACCGCTAACATTCCGCGACGGCAGCGCACGCGATATCTGAACGCGGTCAATACATTCAAGGAACTCCTTTCGATGGGCGTTGTTCCGATCGTGAATGAAAATGACACGGTGTCCGTTAGTGTGAGTGGATCTACGTTTTTCGTGAAGTTTCGGTGCCCTCATGAGTGAATGAAGGAAATTAAATTTGGCGATAACGATACACTGTCTGCTATCACGTCGTCCATGATCCACGCCGACTATCTTTTCCTGCTGACTGACGTGGATGGCCTTTACACCTCGAACCCACGTAAAGATCCGACTGCGAAACAAATAGAAGTCGTAGATTCCATATCTGCCATCCGTTCCGAAGGTAAGCTCGTCACTGATCAGCTTCCCGAGGTCTCATGAAAATCTGTTCCCAGTAAGCACAACTACGCTCGGTTCGAGTCTGGGGACGGGCGGGATGGAAACGAAGATTATCGCGGCCGAGATCGCGACTGCAGCTGGTGTCACCACCGTCATACTGTCGAGCAAAAAGCCAGAAAATGTTTTTGGAATAATTCAGTACTACAACCAAATATCCCCAAAAACGCCGTTCACCGCACACGAGGGAGGCTCTCGACCAGAAAGTGCAAACCCCAGTCGCAGCTCATCTCCCACCCCTCTGATACGGCCGCCGCACACGGTGTTCACTGCATCCTCCACGCCCATCCGAGATATGAAATCATGGACAACACATACCCTGTTCCCAGCCGGCAGTGTCATCATCGATGCCGGAGCACATCACGTTCTTTCGCGTCGCGAATCAGGCGGGCGTCTACTCGCAGCTGGCGTCGTCGGAATAATCGGCGCGTTCGCCTCTGGGCAAGCTGTCCGGATCGTGATCCGACGTCAGCCTGATGGATCTTCGTCGGCGGACGCTGACACAGCTGTCAAAGCTGCAGCGTACACAAATGGGCTGGAGACCACGCGACCAACGACGCCCACGCTTAATGCGGTGTCGTCACTGTCGTCGTCGGTGACCTCGCTAGAGCCATTGACGCGGTCTTCATCGTCTGGTGCACTTGCTGAGGACATGACGTCTAAGCTAGCAATACCGTCAGAGGATGATGTGGTATTGGTGGATCGGGACTCGGAAGCTGATGTAGTGGAGGTTGGGCGGGGCCTCGCTAACTACAATTCTGCGCAGATATTGAGGGTCAAAGGACTCAATAGGTTAGCCCCCTCATCTGGTCTTGGCTGGCGTCCTGCTGAAACTTGTCGAAGTTCGTACCTGCCGCAGATTCTGGGTTATGCAGACTCTGAATACGTGGTGGAGAATATCTCCATCAGGGTGCCTCCGTCGTGATACTGGTCACCTCAACACCCTGCATGTACTCATACGTAAAGACCCTCAAACCACGTAAGAACGTTCGTTTGACAAGCCAATGGCCTGCATCTCGATCAGGGGTTAAACCCGTCGGTAGGCTTTACCCGATCGCGTATGGTGGCTGTGTAAAATATTTAGACCAAACAATCAAGATTTTGTGATAATTTTTCTTTCACTGTCACAACTCCACAACCTCCTCTCTCCACGCCTCTCCTCAATTCATGCAATAACTTACAATCTCATCTATTATCTCCCGAATGTACCACAATAACTCTATCCGGATCCTCGCGGGTTCGTATAATCTTCTCGCAGCCCTCAGACCCTCCTAAATGTGTTGTATTCAACAGGGAATAGTCACCCCGAGCTCGCCCAAGCCGTGGCCGAGCGGTGAGCTGCCTCTCCATGAGTTGCAGCTAAAAGAACAGTCCATGGACTAGTGATTTGTTCACATATCCTAGGCTCAACGTACCCCTCGTCCCCGTCACCGTCAAAAAGTTCTCCAACGGAGAAATCAACGTCAAAATCTCAGAGTCTGTGCGGGACGAAGACGTGTTCATCATCCAATCCGGATGCAGCGACGTCAACGACAACTTTATGGAGCTCCTCATCCTCATCTCGGCGTGCAAGACCGCGTCGGCCCGCAGGATCACCGCGGTCATCCCGTGCTTCCCCTACGCCCGCATGGACAAGAAGGACAAGTCGCGGGCGCCGATTACGGCGAAGCTCGTGGCGAATATGCTCACGGTGGCTGGCTGCGACCATGTCATCACCATGGACCTGCACGCCAGCCAGATCCAGGGATTCTTCGACATTCCAGTTGACAATTTGTTCTCCGAACCGCTGATGATTTCCTACATCAAGCGCGCTATTCCGAACTGGAGGGAGTGCATCGTTGTCAGCCCAGACGCTGGCGGTGCGAAACGGTGAGTCTTTGGCTGCTTTCAGTGGCTTGTGTGTTGCTTACGTGTTATCATAGGGTGACAGCCATCGCCGATAAACTCGGGGTGGAATTTGCGCTCATACATAGAGGACGAGAGTCAAAGGCGCAGAACGCGCCAGAAAGGATGGACATACTCGTTGGAGATGTCTCGGGCAAGGCAAGCCACATCGTCTCTTCCCATATATCCACGCTCACCTGTCATCGTCTAGATTGCTATTCTCGTTGACGACATGATCGACACGGGAAAAACACTCACACTGGCGGCTAGAACGCTCAACGAAAAAGGCGCAAAATCCGTGCACGCGCTAATCTCGCATGGTACGCTTGATCCCTTCACATGTGCTCGGCAAAATTGACGAACGCATCACTTCTTTTCCGCAGGGCTTCTGTCAGAAACGAACATGTCGCTGATCCAGCAACTGCCCATCGAAGAGCTTGTGGTGCGTAACCGAATGATAATCACATGTCAATCCACCCATACTCACATCACCGTTTCGTGTGTTACAGGTCACCAACACGATTCCACAAAACCAGCACGCCACCGGCTGCAATAAGCTGGTTACGATAGACATCAGTCCCACCATCGCTGAGAGTATCCGGAGGACCCACAATGGCGAGAGCATCAGCCTGTTGTTTGGGGAATGGGCCGAGACTGGGAACGTTGCGGTCCTTTAGTTGTTTCGTCGTCTGTATCATTATCATGCATTTTACCTGGACATCTCTTTCAATATGAACACTGCCATACGTAGACATATAGACACTATCCAATATCAGCCTCTCGAGTGACTCTGTAGACACGTTACATCCGTCGAGTAGAATAACGACATTTGTTCCCGTGGCATTTTGTAGCGAGTGCGCGCGTGACACTCGAGAATTAACAGAGCATTGAGCAATTAAAGGCGTAACAAATCGAATGACATGCATTATTGGCAGGAGGCAAAAACTATACACATTCGGTATGGACAGCATGGCCTCAATTGATCGAGATCGAATAGGAGTTGGTCGTCAACGTTGCGCTCCCTAAAATCCCATTAATGCCACAGCACCATGATCTCACTGGGAACTAGAACACACCAATAAAAGGCTCCGTTCCTGCTTGAGCTTGGACCAAGAACTGGGAGGATGGTACACCCTGATTTGAGACGAGGAAGTCTAGAAAGACGAGGTGATTCAGCGATTAATTCTGATAAATCCCACCCCTGAGAAAACACTGACTGAGGAAGGCCTTGAGGTCGGAATTGAAATTGGTAATCTCGCTCGGCGCTACAAACGAGAATACAGTCCAGGTTGAGACAGTCCCCTTGAAGAGCTTCCATGTTACTCCATTGACACTACCACCACGGCATTGAATATCTGAGAGCCAAAGGTGACGACGAAATGCAGGGCTTACCTTGCGGTGCCGATTTGGGATCCAGCAGGGCCAGCTCTGCGAGCGAGTCAATACGACGGTGGAGCAATCAGATATTGTCATCACGCTTACCCTCCTCTTGAGCTCAGCCAAACCATGCTTTGCGAGGATTTCATTAATATATACGCCTTCCCCAATAGAGGACACTTACATCTCGAACGTTGAGCTCGAGGACGCGCCACTGGAGCCAGCATTGTTTGAAAGCCACAGATCATATGATACGTCGGCGACGAGGCCAGAGGACGCTGAGGTGTAAGTCCATGACCAGCTGGTGGGAATAGAGCCGATCGAGGATATGGATTTGCCCAGGCCAACCCGTAGGTCGAGGTTAGCATCTGTCAACGGTAGTGAGCAGGACTCTAGAATTGTGGAGAAGAAATGTTATACGCACAGCTTTTGACGTTAAAGTTTCCTTTGGGGTAGGTTAGTAAAGGTGTCAGTGGATATTAGAGAAAGGAGTGGATACCTCCAGCCCAGTTATACGTAGTATGCCAAGTGATGGAGTTACCATTGGTTGCCGTCACTTGCGAGCTCTGGGAGCCTGAAGAGAATGGTAAGATCGCATAGATAGAGCAGTGCAGATCGTGGACCCACCGCTGGTGGCTGCAGATTGACCCCATAAATTATTTTCAAGTGTGAAGCGTCTAT